TAGTACCCTTGAAATATTTAGGCGCACTCAGCGCTGTATGGATTTGATTGCTTTAGCTGAATGTGCAAAGCGTCTCTAATAGCACCCCTAAAATTTTTAGGCGTGCCCAATACTAAGGGGAATTGATTGCTTTAGTTGGACATGTAAAGCGTCTCTGACAGAACCCTTGATGGATGTAGCCGATTCTTCTTCTCAGGGTCAAGGCAAACTGGTGTCTCTGGACTCAGAGCTTTCTTTGATATATCTGGGTTGCTTAGGTCCCAGTTTGTTTATTTATTTGTCAAACAACTCGGGGTGCTCCTGTGGTGAATCTGTCCAACTAAAGCGTTAGACAACGATCAAATATAGATACTGACAGGTTTCCTGGAAGCTATGAATTGGGATAAATTTCACTGAGCATTTCTAGTAAACCCTTGCTTCTCTATCTGGTTGGTGGAAGCCCTGGTGCATCCCGCATAAATCCTATGTTGTATGTGGGTTGCATCTCGGTATCTAGTCGGCGCCCGTCATTAACTGTGAACTTGCGATACCTGGGAACCCTTAACTATGAACTTGTGATATTTTCCATTGGCTTTCTCTTTGATCCTCTTGGTGATAGAGAGAAACCCAGGAGCCGGCAGGTTCGGTAGTGTATTATGAGGCTTCAGCCCAAATTTTAAGAGAGTCACTTTTAGACCTCGACACAACCCTAGATCTGGTTCAGGGGTCATTTCTTCTGCCCTACTGATGATGAAAAATTGAAGTGCATGCAGTAGTTAGCAGAATTGATTATGATAAACCTCTGCAGATGCATCAGACTACTCTTGACTTTCGGATATGATGGATTTATGAACTAGAAAATCAAAGATCTGGATCTGGATTCGTCGAAACCTGAACCTAGAACTTCTTTGGCAAATTTCCGCTCTCTTGATGGTGATTTCAAAGTGATCTTTACCTTGTGGAGAACACATGATTCATAAGATGATTCCCACAGACGACGCCACTGTTTCGTTGCAGAACTAGAAATTGAGAAGTTTGCGGAAACTACAACAGAGCGAAGCTTCCTAATCGATTTAGTGATGCAACACCTTGGATCAAAGGTTATGATCGTGGTGTCTCTTGAATCAGAGACGTTGATCTTGAATGAACGTTGTTAATCTCCTGTACGATAGATCAAGGGGGTAACTACATAGTTAGTAGTTCAACGTCCAAGTTAATTTAGGGTTCAAGATAATTGTAATGATATTAGAGATTGTGTACTTGAAAATCCTTTGTGAAGATATTTATACCTTAAGCTCAATAGAACAAACAGAATAAGCGAGCCTTATCTTATTCGAGGCTGAAACAGAAAAAGTACGATAAACACAACAACTTATTAAAACTCTCAAATTCAAAATGTGGAAGAAGAAATACTTTTTCTTATGTTATTTTTCACTCACTTCACTTCAGATTGTGAGATCTATTTAGAGAATTGGTTTTGAAAGAAATTGGGGGATGTTCAATAATTTTTATATAAAAAATCATATCTTATCACTACAGATTCGTAAGTACCAATTTATTGTACTGTAGTTATTATATAAAAAAATTATATCTACAAGAAATTGATGATTATTTTTCTTGTCATCGCATAACATATAAACTAGTTCTTAATTTGATTTGTTTGTTGTTAATTCGTGGGATGGCCCAAGTTTTTGCTCAAGTTTGGGTGAGTTTTTTTTCGGGGTTGGTTGAAAGTATGCATGTTGAAGAAGTCTCACATCGTTTAGTTTTGTAAAGAAAAAGAGAGTACAATATTATATAATTGATTCAAGTTCTTTATTACAAGAGGAACCAATTAAAAGAACTTTAAATTTATATTTGACTTTCTTTATTCTCTTATACTTTTGTGTTAGAGTGTTATGAGATGTAGTTAAATATTTGCTTTGGAGGGTGTGAAAGTAATGGAGTCTTGAAGTGGTTGAGGGTAAATTATGTGTTGTAATATCTTTCACAAAATGTTATTCTCTGATTGTCATTTGACAATGAACGTGGTTTTTCTCTGATTTTAGAGTTTTCACATTATATCCTTGTGTTGTGATTGTGTTTTTTTTCTTTTCTCTTTGCCGATTTTTCTTAACAATTAGTATTAGAGCTTTTGGTTCAATCCGAGATAGGAGTTCTTAGTATACTCTATGGTTGGAGCTTTATCTAATCTTAAACATCATAAAAGAAGAGAAATGTTGTGAAAGAGTTGTTTAGTTGTATTCACAAGTTACAGTGTGCAGTTTGAAATAGAGAAAATTGATGGAAGAATTATTTTTGACATGTGTAAAGTTCAAGTCGAAAATGTGTTGATACAATCAACTAGTTAGTGGTTAGTACATCATTTATTGACATTAAAACAAGGTGTGCTATGAGATTATGTCGGTGGTTGAAGAGCTTCCTGCCAACATGAAAGTTACACCATAAATTTTCAACTTGATTTTCGATATTTAAGATTTATGGAGTGGTTTATCTTCAAGTGGAATATAGTCTTCATGATAGAATATATGATTTTCAGTGATGACAACGTGAAATTTTTGGAGTGGTTTATCTTCAAGTGAAATATATTTTTCATGAGAGAATATGGTAGTTTTTGAACTATGATTGTCGGTAATGACAGTGTGAAAATTCTTGGAATGGTTTATCTTCAAGTGAAATATATTTTTCATGAAACAATATGGTAGTTTCTGAACTATGATTGCGGTGATGACACTATGAAATTCTTGAACTGGTTTATCTTCAAGTGAAATGTATTTTTAATGAGAGAGTATAATAGTTTTTGAAATGTGATTGTGAGAGAAGACATTATGGAAATTCTTGGAGTGGTGTAATTTCAAGTGAATATACTCTTTATAGTGGAGTATGATTATCGACGAAGACAATGAAAACTGATGTGTTATTTTTAATCAAGGTGGAAATTGTTAGGATCGTTGAAAATGTGCATGTCGAAGAAGTCTCACATAGTTTAGTTTTGTAAAGGAAAAAGGAGTTCAAGGTTATATAAGTTCTTCATTACAAGATGCACTAGTCAAAAGCACTTTAAACTTGTATTTGACTTTTTTGTTTTATTATATTTTTGTGTTAGAGTGTTATGATATGTAGTTAAATATTTGCTTTGAATGGTGTGAGTGTACTGGAGGCCTATGGGTGTTTAGGGTAAATTATATGTTGTAATATTTTTCAAATAATATTATTATATGGTTGTCATCCGACAACGATTATGGTCTTTTTCTCCGATTTTAGAGTTTCCACGTTATGTTCTTTTGTTGTGATTGTGTTCTTTTATTTTCTCTTTACCGTTTTTTCTTAACATTTCTGTCATAAAGAAAAACACATTTTATCTTGTTTTCTTGAGTTTTTTCTTAGTCGGTGATTATGTGTGTGGAAATGGAACGAAATAGTTATTTTGGATTGGTTCGATTGAGAGGTACCTCTTTCTGGATTAATAAACTAGCATTGAATTTTTTGGGTTTTTGGATTTTCTAGATACTAAATTTTATGAGTTTGGGGAAGAAGATGAAGAACAATAATTACAACTCAGGAAATATTTTAATGACGGTTTTTCAGTTGCTAATTCAATCATACAATTGGTCTAAACTATATGACATTTTACATCAGCACCACATAAGTTGACTTTGACTAATAAAATGGATGAAAAAGACTAATGTAATTCAATTTACGGAATTGATGGATCAAAATAACCTTTTTAAAAATTATAAAACCAAATTGAACCCGAATCAAAAGTAAGAGACAAAAAAATTTAGCCAAAATATATTAACGATACTTTACTCATCTTTGAGTCGAACTTCATATTATCATGATTCTTTAACGAGAAATTAGAAAGTAAAAACATTAAAAAAAAACGCTACTGCATTGTTAATAAATTTCATTAATTTTTTATTTTTCAAAGTTATTATCGTTTTATTTATTTTTAGTTGTCTATAGACTATAAGGCATATTTGATTACATAATATATTATATATTAAAAAAAAAAAATTTAGTTTCTATATTTTTATTAGTGGAAAGTTTCGATCTCCGTCATTTTCTCTCATAAATTTTAGTTTCAATGTAAGACTTAATACATTATTTTATTTATCAAGTGAGAAATGTATTTAACAACCTCTTTACACTATAACTTCCAAATAATACAATAATAAATTTGATTTCATCCATCCCAATTCTTAGAGGACATATTGTGACATTTTCATACAGAGGAAACTTATAATGCGAAACACAAAGTTGCTATCCAGTATTACCCTGAAACAAATGCTTAAATTGAAGTGTCAAACCGATATTGAGAAAAATCAGCGGAAGGAGTTTGAATCTTTTAAAATTAGTAAAATAGAACTCAACTCAACTCGCGTGTTTCAAAAGTAAGTAAGTAACACTAACCTTACTACTACTTCATTCTGCTGCCTCTTTCGTTCGTTCATTCATATTTAACTTTGATTATCTAGGGCTCATTATCTTATTTTTTTCTATTCTAAATAAATCATTGTTGAAATGTATTATTTATTTATGTTGAACCTGTCTCGTGAATAGTTCATAGATATCTATATTTTATAATATTATTATTCTTATTTTTTCTTTTTATTCTCCCTTATTAGTTCGAGATTAGGAAGTTTGTTTCTTATTTTTAGGCTAAATTGATTACTATTATCTCTACTTAAAGTTTATTATGTACATTTATAATATCAAGTATCAAATATATTTTTTCCTTTTTATGTGTTGTTAATTTCCATATCAATATGGTATCAAAGCATATTCAATAATTTTCTCCATTATCTCTCCCTTTTGCCAAGTGTCCCCTCTTCCTTGACTTTTTCCATTAAAGCTTATCCTTCTTCCTACCACTTCTTCGTTCTCTTTGTTCTCATCACCATTTCCATCATCAAAAATTTTCTTTCCCAAATTCACCATCAAAATCAACCCTTCTTTCCCTCACCAAAATCTTTTCTTGCCACAAACCCTAGAATCTCCTTCAAACCTTCTCTTCTTCAATGACAGAACACGCCTACCTCGATTTTGCTATAAATCCTTTAAATTCGTACTATATCCACCCTAGCGAAAACCCTACCCTTATCCTTGTTACCTCACTTCTTGATAGCAAAAATTATCTTTCATGGGCTCGTTCTATGAAGGTGGTTTTGATTTCTAAAAAGAAGCTTCGCTTCACAGATGAATCATTCCCCAAACCCGCCGCGAACAACATTCTTCTTGATCCTTGGATCCGTTGCAATAACCTTGTCCTTTTTTGGATTCAACGCTCTGTTCCAGATTCTATCGCACAATCTATTCTTTGGTTTGATAATGCCTCAACAGTATGGGAAAACCTTCAAAAAAAAATTCTCTGAGGGCGATGTTTTCCGTATCTCTGACTTTCAAGATGATCTTGTTCGCCTTCAACAAGGCTCTCTCGATATCTCCAACTACTTCACTCAACTCACATCAATTTGGGAGCAAATCGATATGTATCGTCCTACCAGAGATTGCACGTGTGCTATTCCTTGTGCTTGTGGAGCGGTTTCTGATCTTTGTAAATTTCACGATCAAGACAAAGTTCTCAAATTCTTGAAAGGTCTCAATGAGAAATTCTTCAATGTCCGCTCTCAAATCATGATGATGGAGCCACTTCCTAACTTGAACAAGACTTTTTCCCTTGTTCTAGGTCAAGAAAAGCAATTGACTACATCTACAAATTCTGAACCTCTTCTTGAAACTCCCACCCTTGCTTCTCAGATTCAACACCAAACTGGAAATGGACGTGGCTCACAACCTTCTTCATACAGAAGCAGAGGTTGCAATAACAATTATGGTAGTCATGGCAATTCCTATGCAACCTCTCGCATTTGTACTCACTACGGACAAAATAATCATACAGTTGAGACCTGTTTTGTCAAGCATGGATACCCTCCCGATTTTCAACATCGACCCAAAGCGCCTTCTATCAACTCCATATCTGCAGAAACTTTCACATCCTCTACCACCGCACCATCTGTTCAAGACCAATGTGGTCAACTTATTTCTCTACTACAACAACATCTCAACAATTCTACTATGCAGGCTCAAACTCCCCTAGAATCTGATATCAACTCAATCATTTCTTCCACTGGTAATGTCAATACTATCTCTTCTTCTATGGGTAAGCATTTCACACCGTGGATCATTGACACCGGTGCTACACACCATATAACTTATTCCCTATCTCATTACTCGACATATCAGAAAATTTCACCTTTTATCATGAAAATGCCTAATGGTCAAACGACTGATTCCACAATATCTGGCACTATTATTCTCTCACATAATATTATCCTAAATAATGTTTATTACATTCCATCTTTTACTGTTAATCTCATATATGTTCCTCAACTATCACGTTCTTCTAACTGCTATCTCAATTTTTTTGCTGATAAATGCTTAATTTTGCAGAGTTTGTCCCAGAAAACGACTGGTATAGCTAAGCGCTTGGGCGATCTCTATGTCTTCTATGCTTCACCTTTATCCCGTACTATCCTTCCTATCCCTGCTTCTAATAATGTTTCTTTCTTAGATAGCAATGCCACTTTATGGCATCAAAGATTAGGTCACCTTTCTGATTTTGTGTATAAATGTGTTACTACTAAATTTCCTTCTATTCCTTTTAATAAAATTGGTCCATGTGACGTTTGTAACTTTTCCAAACAAAAACGATTACCTTTCCCTGTTAGCACTAGCACTTCTTATAGCATTTTTGAACTTGTTCATGCCAACATTTGGGGGGCCTTATTCTACCCCCTCTATTAATGGTCAGTGTTATTTTTTAACTCTTGTAGATGATTTTAGTCGTTTTACTTGGCTCATTTTCATGAAATGTAAGAGCGAAACTAGACAACACATTTCCACTTTTACTTCCTTTATTCAAAATCGATTTGGTACTTCTTTAAAATGCCTTAGAACTGATAATGGGAATGAATTTCTAATGACTGATTTTTTCAATGATAAGGGCATTCTACATCAACGATCTTGTGTTGAATGCTCTCAGATGGTTCTATCAACCGGTACAAAACGCGCCTTGTAGCAAAGGGTTACACACAGGTAGAAGGTATAGATTACTTCGACACTTTTTCCCCGGTTGTCAAACTCATAATGGTAAGATCCTTACTTACTCTAGCTGTCATTAAAGGTTGGTTTTTAGAATAATTAGATGTAAATAATGCTTTTTTACACGGTGATTTACACGAAGAAGTTTACATGACTTTACCTAAAGGTTTTCATTTAATTAATTCTGTTTGTACTGGTACCAAAGTCTGCAAGTTGTAAAAGTCCCTTTACAGACTCAAACAGGCTAGTAGACAGTGGTATGCTAAATTGTCTGATTCTCTTCTTTCCATAGGTTATAAACATTCTCTGGCCGACTAATCCCTTTTTACTAAGCATAATGACTCTTCTTTTACTGTCTTACTCATATACGTCGATGATATTATGTTGGCTGGAAATAATTTTGCTGAAATTTCCTTTGTTAAAGCTTTTCTCCATGACTCCTTCAAAATCAAAGATTTAGGGAACCTTAGATACTTTCTTGGCATTGAAGTTGTTAGATCTTCCAAAGGCATTTTAATTAATCAACGAAAATACACCTTGGAGCTTTTGGAAGAATCTGGCCAGCTTGCCACTAAGCCATCTAAAACCCCCTATGATCCTTCCCTTAAGCTCAATTGTCCCGATTCTCCTATTTATAAGGATGAAACCCAATACAAAAGGCTTATTGGCAGGCTCCTTTATTTAACCACTACTAGACCGGACATCTCCTTTGTCGTCCAACAACTTAGCCAACATGTTTCCAAATCTCAAGTTGTTCACTTCAAAGTTGTTATCCGTGTTCTATAATATTTAAAAACTGCTCCTACAACAGGTTTATTTTATTCCATCGACTCTAACTTACTTTTATTTGGTTTTGCAGATTCAGATTGGGCAACTTGCCCTGTTTCTCGCAAATCAATCACAGGCTATGCAGTTTTCTTAGGAGCTTCCCTTATATCATGGAAATCCAAAAAGCAGCAAACCGTTTCTCGGAGCAGCTCCGAGGCAGAATACAGAGCTCTAGCCAGTTTAGCCTGCGAACTCCAGTGGCTACATAATTTATTCAAGGATTTGAATCACTCATTCATACAACCTGCTTCTGTTTACTACGAAAACAACTCCGCCATCTACCTTGCACACAATCCTTTTTTTCACGAACAATCAAAGCACATAGAGATTGAATGCCACATCACTCGCGAGAATATCGAAGCCGATATTATCAAACTCTTGCCTATACACACCAGACTTCAAATTTCAGATTTCCTAACCAAACAACTTTACCAACCAGCTTTTGCCACACACATTTCCAAGCTTGGCCTCATCAATCTCCACAGTCCAGCTTGTGGGGGTGTCTTAGATATCTATACTTTATAATATTATTATTCTTATTTTCCCTTTTTATTCTCTCTGATTAGTTTGAGATTAGGAAGTTTGTTTCCTACCTTTTAGGTTAAATTGGTTACTATTATCTCTATTTAAAGTCTATTATATACATTGATAATATCTAATATCAAATATATATTTTCCTTTTTCTATGATGTTAATTTCCACATCAATAATAGTCACAGTGGTGAAGTCAGTATTTTCATGTTCTAGGTCTTATTGGCAATTTTGTAGTATAAGAAGCTTTGTTCTATTTTATATTATCTCAAAATAACGAAATAAACTATCACTTTGTTTCTTCTTCAACTTGTTTGCCCATCTCAGTCACATGGAGTGATGCTGATGCAGAATGTCTGGTACTCGATTTGTTTATTTTTGGGAAGAATTTTACTCAGATTAAAAAATTCTTAGAGAACAAAGGGATGAGGGAAATACTCTCATTTTACTATGAAAAGTTTTACAAATCGGATGGATATCATAGATGGTCTGAGTCCAGGAAGTTAAAAGGGAGAAAACGTGTGATAGCGAAGAAGCTTTCTACCAAAATGAGGCAACATGATCTATTGTCTCGCTTGAATCCTCATGTCTCTAAAGCATCACAAGATACTTTGTCTTATTTTTTTATTCTTCTTCCATTCATTTTTTTAATGATATTCCTCTTGTGATCAGTGAATATTATACATTACATGTTTACATGGTCAGTGCAATTGTTTATGGTAGAATCATTGCTCATAACCTTACATGAAAGGATAGTTCTCATTTCCAACTTCTCTATAAATATATCCTTTAACTACTATAAATAATGAAAAGCTATGAATAATGCAATTTTTTAATAAAAGCTATAAATAATGAAAAGGATATTTCATGACTAATTTAACACATCAAAAAATGAAAATAGGAGGGTATAGATCCTAGAAGCGCTATATTTAATTATTTTTTTAATAAAAAATATAAGATCTTTGATATTTAATAAAATCGAAGGATAGTAACAATGAGGAAACTCGCTTCGACACCTATCTATAATATTTTATAATTTTTTTAATTATTTAATTAGTATTTCTCACTTGACACCTTTCAAATTTTTTTTTATTTTTTTATTTGTTCAATTAATATTGCTATAGGATTCAACTGAGAGGTAATATATTTTGTATTAATAATTTCATAATTTTAATTTCAAAATCTTACTTTAATACTTTATTTAATATATTTTAATCCTTTAGTTTTCTACAAAAATTGACGTGATATATCTTTTTAATGAATTTCCAAGATATGACGGTATGAAGTTTTTTTTTTATTTTTTATTTTTAAATAATACAATTACGTCGGTTTTTATGGAAAATCGACATGACACTTATTTTGCATGAAATACTTCAGACTATTATCTAGTTTCTAACTTTTTATTTACCTATCAACACTCAAACGTCAGTTCGTCACTCTCATTTCGTAAAAAACTCTATGCGATTTTCAAACTGATATTCATCAAAACTCAATAGATATTCATCAAAACTCTCATAGTAACATGTTTGTTTCATCTTGATAGTCATCAACGTTTGTTTTTCACTTAAATTGTTTTTTGATCCTTTTGTTTATGGTTTCTTCGTTTGTTTGTCTATTGATCATTTTGTTTGATAGTCATGGCCGATTCGACAAACACCTCCCATAAAACATCTACTGCAAACTCTGTTACAAAACGTAAAAGAAAAATTAGAGGTGTTACGATATATATATATATATATATATATATATATATATATATATATATATATATATATATATATATATATATATATATATATATATATATATATATATATATATATATATATATATATATATATATATATATATATATATATATAAAGGTGAAAAAAGTCAACGAAACTGGTATTCGCTATCCGGTTAGAGTTGATGCAGAAACCGACACAGTTTCTGGTGAACATGCTGATGATTTTTTGGGTTACATTGCATTACAAGGTAGAAGTAAAGTGAGTATTTTGATAGATACTTGACGTGAAGTTGATGATGAGTTGAAAGATGCAATATGAATCGATATTACAGTATTTATTTTGTATTCTATCATTTGTTTTACAAGTATATTTTTTTGTTTAATACTAATAACATCTTTATTGTATAAACATATGATAGAAACCCTCGGTGTTTAGAACACCGAGCTCGATGTTTAAAACACCAATGTATTAAGTGAAGACTTTTCATAACAATTTTATTTATCTCGTCTGGATAATCAAAGTAAAATGTATTTCGCGTCTGAAGTTACGATCGTTATTTATAGTAATAGTGTTTGAGACATATTCCAATAACCTTGTTAGAATAGAAGTGGAAGAAGTTAATATCTTATAGTCAAAGTAGCTCACACCTTCATACAGACTATGAATTGCGTGTTCATATAATTGTCATGGTCTACAATATATATATTCCTTACATATAGTAGTGTCATGATCTTTATATATTTGTTACAGTTTTATTACAGTTCAATGTCAATACCAATAAGATGAATAATGTTGTTGTTAGAATGAGTGATATGTTTAATTCTGTATTGGATCAAAGCATGTCATTAAGATCACAGAGCAGAACATTAAAAGTAATAATAGTAGTAACTGTGTTTTGCATTCTAGCAACATATTTACATCATAGCTACAAATAATATTGTATTTGAATGTATTTCAAGTTTGAACGAGTTAAATTCTATGTATTCTTAATTTTGTTTGTTTAGATATAGTAATAAAAACATTTGGTTGTTTAGATATAGTAATAAAAAAAATTGTCCTTAAATTTTGTTGAGCTATTTTTATAAAAAAATAATTATTTTTGATAAAATTAAAAATCTATATTGAAAAGTTATCGAAAATGTGCGTTTTTAAAAATTATGGTCAAATTTAAAATTTCATAAAGTTAGAAAACATTTTCAAAATATAAAAAATTAGGGACCAAGTTTGCAAAAACATAAAAAATTTATAGAGACTAATTTGTTATTTCTTAAAGTTATAGGGATCAATTATGAGAAAAAAAATCATTTGTAAAATTTAAAAAATAAATAAGAGTTAATGTGTATATTTTTTTAAACATGTAGATGTCATACCTCAAATTTTCTCTACCCTTATAATTATGTTTAGGTTTTTATTAAAAAGTGTTGTTTAATTCTTGTTTTTATGGAGGAAGTAAAATATGAAAATGGAGTATATAGATTCAAAATGAATCATCAATATCTGATAGGGAGATGTATTACTTTAAAAGTAGTGTGAACAGATCATTTCTTTAAAAGAGGCCCATTTGAGTTTTTTATAAGGGTCAGAAGGGTGTATAAAAGTAATTTGTTTTTGTTGTTTCTTTTGAAGCCTAATGTTTAGAAATTACATAGTCCATTCAATATTTTTTTATTTGTTTCGAAAAAAATAATGTTTTGTTATCAGTACCAACATCACTTTTACATTTATTGTTATTAAATATTGTTTTTAACCAAAACATTATATTTTAAATTTGATAAAGATTTTCTGCTTTTCTTTTTAAGAGAAAAGTGTTAATAAATAAAGCCCAGGTCCAAGTCCAAAATCTAAGGGAATGATATAGTCCAACTTTTTTAATCATAATGTTTGGAAGTCAATTTCTGACATTTTCTTTTTATTTTTATTTCATTTTTACTTATTAAATATAATCAATTATTATTGATATTATTTTTGAAATTATATTCTTTGTTTTAAAAAATGTTTATACAAATAAGTAAATGGGCCTGTTCTGTTTAAGGACATTGTTGTAAATAACAAAAGAAAAAAAACGTATGGCCCAGAAACATGAACAAATATTTTATAGATTTAAAATAAAACACATGCTTTATTGATAAACATCTACTGTTCAAATCGTAGGCAAATTATAATTAATACCAGATCTTATTCAAACTCTTCTCAGAACGATCTTAAAACAAAAACAAATATTTGCGTTAATTAACTAATCAATACAAAATAAAATTCATAAGCAGAAAAAAAAATTCTGTATACAGAAACTTATTCATTACTAATCAAAACAAATAAACTTTTTCCCTAAATCTGCTAAACATTTACAGACAAATAAATTTATTTCCTAAAAACTAATTCCTAACAAAACTATAAAGAGGGGACATCAAATTACAGAATGGAGACAAAAGAAGAATTGCAGTAAACGGCAAAGCTGGGTGGTTAGGGTAGTGCCGCCGCGGGTTAAGAATTGAAGGGCCATGGTTTGTGTTTGGTTGGAACAACGAGGAAGAAGAACAAAAGGACGGAAGGAGAAAGAGAGAAGAATAATAAAATGACGTTTTAGTTTTAAAAAAAGAAAATATAATAAGCCTCATGATCCAACACGCGCTAGTCCACTATCACCATCATACTCCCTCGCTCATACCCATGTGATCTATATCGCGCGTCCCATATGAT